AAGTACATATCATATTGCTCTGTCAACCTTAAAAAGCGAGACTGATCCATCTCCTTCTGCTGGCTATAGTTTTGATGCTGCAAAATCTAATATGTGGCGTACTATTTGGAAAATTCAAGCGCACCGAAAAATTTTATTTTTTCTTTGGCAAAGCTTACATAGGCGCATTCCAATTAATTTTTTGCTGTCCTTACGTAAAGCCTCTACAGTGCCTTCTTGCCTTTTCTGTGACGCTCCAGCCAAAACAGTTGATCACGTTCTCTGTACATGTCATTTTGCTTGTATGGTTTGGAGATTAAGTTCGTTACGACTGGATTTTGGGGGTTGTGGTCCAACTGTCTGGCCCAAGCGATGGGTGGCGATGTCTGACAAGTGGAGGCACTCTTCTGGTTCTTCGCAGTGTTATACCTTGCAGCTTTTATTTGTTGGACTCTTTAGAAATGCAGAAATGATCTTCTCTTTAATCATCGCTGATGGGATCCTTTTGAGGCATCACAAAAAGCTCTTACTGATTTCTTTGAATATCAAGAGATTCTACGACAATCTCAATCCATGTCTTTTCCTTCTCCTTCTTCCTTATCAGTTCATCCTCCTTTGCAGTGGCGCCCTCCACCGTTGGGATTTCTCAAACTCAATTTTGATGCGGCTTTTAATCAAGCCAAACAATTTGCGGTGGTGGGATGATTCTGCGCAACCATCTAGGACAGCCGGTTAAGGTGGCATCTGTTTTCCTCTCTCATGTTGGGGGTCCCTCTTTGGCTGAGGGTCTTGTGCTACATGAATGTCTTTCTTTGTTACATCTATGGGGCTATCAAAACGTGATTATTGAAGGGGATTGCCAACAAGTGATGTGGCTGAAGCCTTCAGTTGCAGCTTTATATGTGGTTTTTCAAGATGTCTCTAATCTTCTTTCTGTATGTAAGGGGTCCTCTTTAGCTTGGGTTCCTAGGGATGGTAACTGTGTAGCTCATTTAATGAGCAAAATGGCCTTGGTGGCTGAATGTGGTGATCTAGAATGGGGTGTCTGGCCTTCATGGCTTCTTAATGCCTTAGCTCTTGATTGTAATTCTTCTTTTATTCTATAATAGTCTTCTCTTGTTGGTGAAAAAAAAAAAAATGAAAAAGAAAAAGAAAAAGAAAAAGAAAAAGTATATAAATTGTCATATGTAAATAAGGTTTTGTAGTAAGGAAATTTTACACCTCCCAACACACTTACACATATTAATATAGCCCTTCATCTCAAAATTTTAATTTACCAACAGGTTAATGTTCTAATAGTATCAGCCTCTTATCTCTCAAAGAGAGGTCAGAAGTTCAAGTTTTTGAAGAGACAAGTGTGCGTGAATATCAATTAAAAAAATTTAAAAAATTTTAAAAATTGATTTTCTCAAAATATTCGCGCCAAGTATGCGTGGTTGCTTGTTTCAATGATGTACAATATATTTTTTAAAAGCAAATATTTACACACATATGTTTCTTTTGCATAAACGAAGAATATTCGAACAGATAGTGATTTTAAGAAGCCAAAAAAAGCTTTGTAGGTAAAAAAAATTAATGCATATTTGTGTTTTGAAGAATTAAGAAGCAAAAAATACAGTGAATTGAAAAGTACTTACGAATGAATTTAGATGAGCACTGAATATGATACACAAAAAAAATCTAATATTTTATAAAACATTTTTTAAAAAATAGATTTTTATTTAAATTTTATATCTAATTTAGCAATGTAAGATTATTGACTTAGGTTAAAAAAAAAAAAAAAAAAAAAATTCAAAAACAAGATTTATTGGGCCTAAAAGAGTTCAAAGGATTTATTTGTTTTTTTAAAGAAAAAAAAAAGTAGGATTTGGTATTAATTGTTTTTAATAATTTTTGTGGGTGATTGAAATAATTTGAGAATTAAAAAGTAAGAAAAAATAAAATAAAATAAAATAAAATGAAAGCAGCGTCTTGTGCTGAGCTGCTACGGTGTATCGGGAAATGAAGTGCTAATTGAAGAAAGCTCACCAACTACTCTTTTGAAGCATGAAAAAGTACATAATAAAAAGGAGCTATGGTACAATGCATGCAACAAATGCAAGAAAAAAAAAATCAAATTAAAAGGTGATAATCCGCCAGTTTGCGAAAATTGCAAAATAAAAGATCCGAAGTGCTTCAAAAGGTAGAAACATATTGAAATTTTCTTATTATATTAGTAACCAAAAAAAACATATTGATCGTTAATAAAATAAATAAACATTAATGTAGATTTGCGATTTGTTTAGAAGTTAAAATATGATACTGCAAAAAGTAATTGTTACAATTTTTGATCGATGTAAAACATTCACTTATTGCTTTATAGAAGAACTGCTGAGTTTTAAAGCCGAGATGACCATATCAATGATTTTTATTAATTAAAAAAAAAAAAAAAATTACCATATTTGTTGTACTATTAATAACTAAACAAACAAACATGTTTTGTTAATTCAATTTTGCAGGAAGAGGAGACAAATGAATTAGAGGTTCCAATAACAAATTGTGAGGGGAAAACATTTTTGTTCTACATAAGTATAACTGTATAAACAACAAAAAAGATGATTTGTTGTTCAACAATTTCAAAGCAAACGCAGTGTACTTGAAGAACAACAGAAATTCAAAAGAATAAAATGTTGATTATATTTTTCTGTGCTAAAAATTTATATACATATATATATATATTTGGTAATATCATTCACCATATTAATCTTTATTAGACAATTACACACTCCATACAAAATTTTATACAATATAGCATTTCATACTATATGTATGTAAATATTTGCACTGTACATGTACACACAAAATTATCATTGTATTTTTTTCACGTGCAGCGCAGGTGACAAACAACTTAGTATTATTAAATAAATAGTAAAATTGCAAGGACGAACGCAAGCAGTGAGCTCACCTCCATTGGATTCACATTCACTTAATGTCAGCTGACACTGAAAACGCATTCATTGTACACTTTGATTTTGTGTGAAAATGACTTACGGAGTATTTTAGACTATAAAAATGTCATTATCTTTTTCATTTATAGTACTGTACTAAAATATTTTATGTTATTTCACAGATTGTTCACTAGCGAACTAGGGTCCATCTAAACAAATACTACTTGTGAAGGAGCCGAAAGTGGACTGGGTCATCTTTGGGCCGGTCCACCCAGTCCAAAGCGTTCTTGAGCCTTTGAACCAATTACAGAGAGAGTTTTTAGGCCCAGAGGGCCATTGGACCACCTCCAAGCCCAACCTCTTCGGCATTATGAAGGGCCCCCCATCCAACACAGCCCGAGAATAAGACCCATTGAAAACAGGCCCAGATTTGAGAGTTTTGAGATAGATTTTAGGGCAAATGTACACTTCTATAAATAAAAAAATTAGAGAGATGAAAAGAGGCCGATTGTGTGAAATGTAAGAATATACTTTCGGAATATAGAGAGTAATTTCTTGCATCTTCAACTTGTTATTCCACAGTAAAAATATGTTTGGAAAAGAAAAAACAACTATTAGAAGCCTTTTTACCACTATAAATAGATATATAATTTGAAAACCTATAGTATTTTGGCATTGATATAAAATCCATTATTATTTGAGCAAATCAACTCGAACATGTTTTGAACTGTATTTTTTTTTTTTTTTTTTTTTTTTACCATGACCCAATTTTTAAAATTAATAGTCAAACTTAATAACTTGATTTAATTGCTTATGTACTATGCTATTAAAGTAGGTAATTATAAGATCGGCTTCAAGACATTTAATGACAACAATTAATTAAATTAGACTACCCTTTAAGATAAAAGTATTATTATTCCAATAAAAAATAATATCATTGACAGACTTTAATACTCGACTTAAAATCGACAAAGATAAAAATCTGATGTGTAAATAAGCATCATTACTATCCTTGTTTGTTTCTATAAAATACTCTTGTTTATTTCCATAAAATACGTCATTTTTTCCTTCCTTAATTTGTACAAAATCTAGAATAAAAACTATAATGTTTTTATAATTTTTCAATACTTTGCAATTTAAAAAAATAAAATAAAAATTCCTCCCATTATTTTTGTTTCTATGAGTCATATAAATTATTAATTTTGATCATTATAGAATCTAACAAATGCCTATCAAAATAATAGATGAATATTAATGATCAAAGACATAATCTTTTATAACTAAAGAGAGATACACAATCTAATTATATATAGAACATGTAATCTGAAGTATCTCAGAGTCATTACACATGCTCTAAGGAAGAAAAGAAAAAGAAGAAAAAAAAAAAGAGTCGTTAGAGAGAGATGCAATGTGATATGGTGATTGAAACTTTAATTATCAATAAAGATATAAGATTAAGATAGAAATCTAAAAAGATTATAACTTTTCAAATAGTTAATTAACTTATATTTTAAAACAGATCTCGTTATTTTTGACACATAAATAATCATATAGTCTCAATAAAATAGTAAGTTTTTATTTATGGAGGTAAATAGCATAACTCTTTTTTTAATCTGAACTCCTCCTCTGATTGCTCATTTTCAACATTGAATTGAAAACAATTGTAATTTGTGAAAACATTTCATCCCTTCTAAAGATTTACCAATCTCATAAACATTAGAAAAGACTTCTCTATCCATCGAAAATTTGTTCTAGAAGTTGTTTGCAAACGTTCAAATAGGAGTGCCAAACGAATCAAAAAGCATCCAACACCTCGACCTAATTCACACTCTGTGTTCACACCTAGCCTCAATCTCCACCGCACATCAGATCACCTGATCACACCGCCGCCGCCATCACCGTTGAATCAGTGCACAAACATCATTCGTTACGTAGCTCTGATGCACCATTTCTTTGACTGACAAGTGACACGTCTGGTATATACTGCCACGTGGTTAATTTGTATGCCGCTACTTGTAAATCATATCTTCACGTCTCCGCATCACAAAACAGAACAAGGTTGTCTCTCTCTCTCTCTCTCTCTCTCTCTCTCTCTTTCTATATATATATTATACATATATATCCTATTGCATCCCTTCGTTTATCGTCAATGCTCTGTTCTTCGGCTCGTATTCTTATCCGGAAAAATTTTAGCATACCGAAGCAAACCCTTTTCGCTTCTCCAAAGATTTATTCGAGTTCTCTGTTTTCTCAGCCAATCAAAAGAGGGTTTTTGCGTCCTTCATCGTTTCCTCCTATACATCACCGAATCAATTCAACAAAAACTCCTTCGTTGGGTTTGAGATCAGATCGCACAATGGCCAGCCAATCAGAGAAGCCCACATCAGTTCATGAATTTACCGTTAAGGTTTGTTTTTTAAACCTCTCCATATGGGGTCTCTGATTTACAATTTGTGTATGTATGTATACGCCTTTGTATCTTTGAATATATGCACACACACACACATACACATATAGATAGATAGATAGATATAGATACATGTATATATTTAGAGGGTTATGGTTAGTTGGTGAATGGTGATGATGTTAATTAGGAGTGTCAAGATCCGAGTTTTTGGCATCTTTTACCCAACTGGGATTCTTTTAATTTTTATTTTCATATGAGATTGTATATCTTGTTTAATGATCTACCCGTTCGTGTTTGTGTTTTAACTGAAATTGAGGGAGTATTAGGTGTAGAAAGTGTTCAAATATTAGAAATATGTGGTCACAATTGGTAACACATTTAAGGACTAGTAGGGTAGCATATTCATGAAGCAAAGAAAGTATATAATAGGAAGTTCAGATTTTTAGCATGTTCACAATTGAGGCAAGTGTACATTTTTAGCTATCTTTCTAACATTTTGTGATATTCTTTTTCAAATTCCTTTTGATTCCATATTCTATGGATTGCCCTTTTAATTATCAATTGGGATGTCTTTTTAGGTGTCATCTTTGTTATATATGCTGTTTGAATATCAATACTGCTCTGTTTACTCAAATGGAAGGTGAATTGCAGGTTACAAGTTTAGGAATGTGGTCACAAGTAACATGAATTTGGATCGAAATTTGATATTATGAGAGGGATTCATAACCATCCTTGTAGATTCTGTGAAGTTGTCATTTTGTATTTGCTAAATACCAACTTGTTTTTATAATTGTTTCCCTTATGATCCACGGGACAATTCTTCTAAGTTATCTGCAAGTTAGTGGTTTTTGAGAAAATGAAAAAGAAAATGTTCTCTTTTTGTCTTTTTAATTGGAGCCTCAATCCTTGGGAGTTACCTACAAGTTAGTGGTTTTCGAGAAAAAAGAAAAAGAAATAAATGTTCTCCTTTTGTCTTTTAAATGGGAGCCTCAACCCTTGGGAGCAAGCAGTTAGATTTTGTCTCCTACTGTGGAATTAAATTTTCTTTCCCAATGAAGATGTGGTAGGTTTCTATTGTCATCTTGGATATTGAGTAGTTTTGGAAGTTGATACTAATATTTTACTCGAGGAAATGATAAAAGTATCGAATCGGTTTTAAAACCAACCGAGGTGTCAAACATTGATTGAAACACTATAATAGGAGAGAGTGCCTATCTTATTGATTGTTGTGTAAGAATCCTTGTTGGGCACTGCTTATTGCAGTCGCCATAAAACTGATTCGGGCATCGTATCATTACTCTTTACTTAAATAGAAGTGAATTTTTGTTACTGTCATGTGTGTGCTCAATTGAAATGTTTTCAAGCAGTAAGCCATTAGTAGGAGGGCAATTTTACTTACGAGTTTCATATGTTATCATATTCCTCTTCTTTGCAGGATGCCAGAGGGAATGATGTTGACCTGAGCTCTTACAAGGGGAAGGTCCTACTAATTGTCAATGTTGCATCACAATGGTATAGTTGGCTCCTCATCCTTTTTCTTGTAGGATTTTAATCTCAAATATTTTCCTTTTTAGGTTGGGCTGGATTGTTAATTCAATAGAGAGCTGACTTTTGCATGATTAGTCCCCATTTGATTTTCACCAGCTGGAAGATGTCATTAGGTTCCTTGACTACTTTACTCATAATCATCCTTACACATCATAGATTCGGAATGATCCATATACACTCATATATGTACATATATGATGTATATACATGTTTGTTGATAGCCACTAGTGGGACCTGAAAAGTTTTATTTTTTTATTTTTAAAATCTACAATGGACAAGAAGTTACAAACCATTAAACCCAGAATTTCTTTCAGCCAATAGCTTAGTTTCCTCAAACTACATCTTTCCGAATTAACATCCAGTATAGCTCATTTTCTTTTTAGAAATTATTCAATATCTAACTACAGTAGATCGGTTATATAGCAATTTGCCAAAAAAATGTTTGTCATTGAGTGCTCAATTTTTTTTATGCAGTGGCTTAACCAATTCAAATTACACCGAATTGAGTCAGATATACGAGAAGTACAAAAATCAAGGTAATTTTGGTATTCTTTTTCTTTGGGCCTGGCACATTCTAGTAATACCAACTTTTTTTTTCTATTAGTATGTGATAGCATTTTCCTGCCCTATGTTATAGGTCTTACGATTTCCTTTGCAACTGATATGCTATTACTTATATTATATTATATATATATATATATATAGATGTAGAAATATTTAAATGCAGACGTTTCTCCATCTTGAAATCGACTCATCCTTTTATCTGAATGCAGGTCTTGAGATTCTGGCATTTCCCTGCAACCAGTTTGGAGCTCAGGAGCCAGGGGATAATGAACAGATATTAGAGTTTGCTTGCACTCGCTTTAAGGCTGAATATCCTATTTTTGATAAGGTAGGAACTTCTATGGAGATGATTAAAAATTCTCACTTTTATGTTTTTTGTCAAAACATAGTTTTGTATCTAATCTTCTCAACTTTAAGGGGAGCTGTCATTGAACTTTGTTTTCATGCAAAAATGTGGTAGATATGCAACAATTTAGATTTAATTAAATTTTTAATACTTGAGCTTTAAACTTCAATTAGCTGCTACCTCTTTAGCATCAGGTATCTAAGAGTATCCATTAATATGTTACATTTATATATATTGTGTACTTGCAAAATTATCCAAAACCTGGAGCGTAGGTATTTGACTCATACCTTAAATCTAGTAAGCAATTGTATAGGAATGACAAGTTATATGTTTCTTGTCTCCATCAATGTGATGATAGTTAATTCTGAACACTAATTTGTTTGAGCTGATACAATTGGGTTGTTACATTTGTGCATGTGAGTGCCTGTTTTCCTTTAGTTCATTTTCTGATGATACTTAAGACAATTACTGATACCTGATTTATCTGGACCGACTCATTCTAGATCAGCAAGTTGGGCTGTATATCTTTGTTTTAATTTCTAAGTAGCATTCTGATGATACTTAAGACAATTACTGATACCTGATTTATCTGGACCGACTCATTCTAGATCAGCAAGTTGGGCTTTATATCTTTGTTTTAATTTCTAAGTAGCAGAAATACAAAGTTCATCAAGACGGTATGCTAAGGGTTTGGTGGGTGGGGTTGGGGTTTTTGAGTTGGTTTAGGAGGAGGTTGAATAAAACTTTTGTTGCTTACATGTCCTTCCTTGTGTATCATTCTCTTTAACCAAGAAATTAGGAAGTCTTAAGACCATAGAAGAATAAACTTATTCCACTGGCTATGTAATAACTTGATGAAGATTGTATAAACTTTTTACTAGTCATCGGCAAGTCCTGGTATACCAATGAGACGTCACCTGTCAGACGGGCACTATGCCATCTCTCTTTACAAATTTATTCCACTAGTTATGTACGCGATGCCCCTCTGCCAAATTTACGACTTTCCTCTCTATTTTGAAGAATAATTTACTTTTTGTGTTCTTTAAACACAGGTTGAAGTGAATGGTTCAAATGCTGCACCGCTTTACAAATATCTGAAGTCAAGCAAAGGTGGACTTTTCGGAGACAACATCAAATGGAATTTCTCTAAGTTCTTGGTTGATAAAGAGGGGAAAGTGGTTGACCGTTATGCGCCGACAACTTCTCCTCTTGGCATCGAGGTGAAGGCCTAAACCCGTTTATTCCCGTTGCGTCCATATTCATTGAGTTATATGATAGCTGACAAAAACTTTCTGGTTTTTGTTGTTTTTATTTTGCAGAAGGATGTGAAGAAATTGCTGGGGGTTGAATGAAGGTTGAATGTGGTTTCTTTTCCAGCTTATTAGTAAATAATCGTCACCGATGATGATAATTCCCATGAATAAATAATGTACGAGGGATCTCGCAATTTTCACACCCTTGTTTGTAATAGAATTGCAGTTATGTTATGACACCCTTGTTTGTAATAGAATTGCAGTTATGTTATGAAATGGATAGTTTTCCTTTTCTATATTTTGTATTAGAAATTTAGAAGTCACACACACACAGATAGATATATATATATATATTCGCTTATATGGAGGAACTTTTATATTGATGGTTTAGGGATAACTATGCACCCTCTTGGGAGAAAGTATACAATCACCTTGTATACCTGTAAAGGCACAGTTACATGTTTTTTTTTTTTTTTTTTTTTACCTTGTTGAAAATTACATAGTTTTCGCGTGAGTTTTCATAAGCGATTTGTCATTTGTTTGAAAACGGTTTCTTGCTTTTTTACGATGATGTGGTATATCAGGGTAAGCTGTTTTTTTATGAGTATTTCTAGAAGTTAAGAAGTTCTTTTTGGTACAACAAGGTATATTTTTTTAAAGACAATAGTTAGATCTACATTAGTGAGGATATATAACATATTCATTATTGATGTGGACTAATAATAAATGGGCGTGTCATTTTTAATTACCAAATCAAATATTACAATTTTAAATTTACATGTTATATTCATAAACCTTTAGGTCTACAAATTACTAGTAATCAACCTAAAATTTTTCACTACTTTTTAATCCCAGTTTAATAAATATTTTAGGAGATGAGTGTGACTCTCTTTTTCTTTTAATAAGAGAACATATTCATAGGTGCTTTCTCCTCTTGCTGGCTTTGTCTCATTTCAAAAAGGATTAGCTAAAAGGTCAGGAACAACTTATGTATAAGTTGTGATTCAGGAGTTGAAACATGCGTTTTGATCTAGATAAAGAGGGCTCACTGGAGCATCCGCCCGGCAACTACAAATAAATTCAAAATCCCTTTTTATTTTTATTTTTTATTTTTGTGGTGATTATTTAGGTCCTACAGCCAAATAAATCACATAAAAAGTCTCACCTGATTCATATGTACCCTTTTATCAACTTTTTATCAAAATAATTAACATTTTAGTCTGAAATCTCGGATAACTTTAATTAGAATTTATCAGTATTTAGACTATTGCAAGAAACAATCCTAAACTACTAATTTGTTACAAAATATTATTCTACCTCAGTTTCAATTAAATAGCAACTTAATTTGAAAGTAACTTGCACAAAGAGTAAACTTGTACATCTTCTTTTTGTACCAAAAGTCAGCAGTGTGGTAGTGGTGGTGATGGACGGTAGGGGGATGGGGAAAGTTTGGGTTGGGTGGGTGGTGGGTTGTTGGTGGTGGTGATGGTTCATAAATGGTTTGTAAATATTTTGCATAATGTATGAAATAATTTGGATCAAATATATAAATCTTTCTCAAATACAAAATTATTAGCATAAAGTTATCCTATTTATAATATATTGTATTAAACACTCATTCTTTTAAAAATATGATACTTTTGTAATATATAAGCGGTAATTTATTAAATAATTCCTTAATATTATTACTTTAACATTTTGCAATATCATTGTTAGTGGAATAAACACGTGGAAGTAGATTACAGGTTCAAGTAAAGTCAAAAACCATGTTCATACTTCCTATCTCTGTCTTTCTCCTTCCCACCTTCCCAATTCCCAGTGTCAGTGTCACTCAGACTTCTATTGTCTGCCTACAGAGTTATTCTTCTTTCCCAGATCAGCTTCTATAATGGCAAGCCAATCCACCAAGGATCAAGAAACAATCTACGACTTCACTGTTAAGGTTAGATTATCCTCTAATGTCCTAATATTATATTTGTGTTTGTATTTGTATTTGTGTAATATAATTTGGGAATGTTTTATTTTTCTTTTCAGTATTTCTGACTGTAAAACCCTTAATATCATATTTGTAATATATTTTATTTTGTTTTGTAATATTTTATTTTGAGGTAGAAGCATAATATTGGTTGCTTTCTGTTTAGCTATGAGAAATATCATATACGTGTGCGCATGTGTGTGTGTCAATGAACAGCTGCGCATGGATCTATGAGACTTGTTAGACATCTTTAAGGAGAATTTTCCTTTTTAATATTATAAACCAAATTATTCATATATTATGCTTCCTTTTGGTAGCAGGATGCTAAAGGAAATGATGTAGATCTTAGCATTTACAAGGGAAAAGTCCTACTGATCATTAATGTTGCTTCCAAATGGTATAAGTCCATTTGCTTTTCTTTTTCTCCATACTTTCTTATTCATCTTTGTGGTGATTCTTTTCTAATTGGGCTCCTCTTATACGGTAGACTATATTTCCCAAATTTACTACATCTCAAATTATATATTGGTTTCGCTGAAAATTATGGGGCTGATCGATCTTCTCATATGGATTTTACTGATTAAATTGATCACCAAACTTCATTAGTTTTTAAATTATAAAATTTTGTTAAGGGAAATCTTATGGGCTCGGCTTCTCCTATTGTTTCTACCTGGTTCTTCAATTCATTTTCATTATATCATCTGCCCTAATAAGTTTTTTTATTTGTCATTTATTTATTTACTTTTGTTAATTATGACAGTGGATTGACCAACTCCAACTACAAAGAACTGAATCAATTACATGAGAAGTACAAAGATCAAGGTTTGTGTTTTGGACCTTTTGTAGTTGCTTTATGAATGGATGTTATTTCTTTTCTTTCTTTCTCTTTTCCCAGGTAAACTTTATGCATGCCATTTTTTTTATTTATTTCCACAACCACATGGTAATAATTATGGATCTATGGCATTGTAGCAAAGCGTAGTAAAGAATTTTGCTTCTCTCTATGTGTAGATCATAAAATGTTTCTTATATACAGAGGCATCAGGATTGATATGAAATTTTATTTGACTATGCTTATATGTTTCCATAAAGTTGAAACTAAGTGATAATTGTTCGACTTAATAAGCCTTTTTTTTTTTTTTTTTGGTGCAGGCTTGGAGATATTAGCATTTCCATGCAATCAATTTGGTGAGCAGGAACCAGGAAGCAATGATCAGATCTTAGATTTTGTCTGCACTCAATTCAAATCAGAATTTCCCATCTTTGATAAGGTACACGAAAAATAAAATAGAACTTTGTATTTCCCATTATCTTAAGCTGACTGCTAACTATAGTTCTAAACTCCTTTTTTCACGATAAGGTTTCTCCTGCATATATAGACCTTTTCTTTCATGTCATACTCATGGTGAATAAATTAAAAATATATATATAGAGTAGCTAACTTACCATTTAATTCAGTCTTCACAACTTAAAGTTCGCTAAATGTTTTTTTCCCCCGCTACCCTAGGGTGTCCCTAACCCATTTAGAGTCTATAATACCTTTGGGTGATGAGTTATTGTTTGGCGTAATGGTAAAAGTTTGAGATGACAAGCATGAGGACAGAAGTCTTAAAGGTTAAGTTTGTCTCGTGTCTTCCCCTCCAAGCATCCTGAGCAAGAGAGACATTCGCTGGGTAATACACTTGCACTTATATCTTTAGATGCATACAATCTCCCACAAACCAAGCACGTGACCGATAAGTAGAGGACAGAGCTGCATGTAAGATGTCTAGTTTTTGAGCCGTTGTCTCAGCCAACTCAGCTACCATATGGGTTAGATAGAAATAATTCTTATGTTGATGAACCCTTAAGCTTCGTTCCATAGGAATGAAAAAATTTGGATGGAAGGGAGAGAAAAAGGGATGGATGAGATATCGAGATTGTGTCCTTCCCTCTTTTTGTTTGGTTGAATGGAAGATTAGAGAATAAGCTCACAAATTATTGTGTTCGTTAAAAGAGAAGAGAAGAGGATGTTTTAAATTGTTTTTACCATTATACCCATCACTATCTATGGTATTGTAATTTATGGAGGATAGTATTGCAACTTAAAACTTGTATAATAGCCTCACTCGTTTTCCCTCCTCTCTTCCGCCGATATTAGGAAGGATAAAAATTTGTGAAGGAGGAAGGATGACTTGTCTATCCTTTCTCTCCTTGTCTTCTCCCTATGGAACAAACGAAGAAAGTTTATTCCTTCCTTTCTATCTTCCTTTTCCTTCCTCCCTACCGCACAAAGCATTAATGTGATGGAGCTCTCTATTCAACTTTAAGTCGGACATATGGTATACCAGTAGCAGTTTACAGAGCTATCATTATCGTATGAGCTATATCAATTCTATTTTCAGGATGTATGCTATATGATTTCTCATCCTTCACTTTGGAGCATCAATATATGAAGGGTCTGAAATTTTGATACAACCTTTTCCTTTTTAGTTGTGTCATATTGTATTTGGCTTCACTTTCTATTCTTTTTCCAGATTGAAGTGAATGGAGACAATGCTGCTCCTCTATATAGGTTCCTAAAATCAGGGAAATGGGGAATCTTTGGAGATGATATTCAATGGAACTTCACAAAGTTCCTTGTTGATAAGAATGGGCATGCTGTTGATCGCTATTATCCCACAACTTCTCCTCTTACCATTGAGGTAAAGTCGACTTTCCATTCTTCTGATTTTGGTAGTTCATTTCAGTTGTACTCTCTTTCTGTTGCTTTGCAGCAACTCATATGATAAATGATATATATATATATAGGTGATGGCATTCTGCTGACTTTGTGACACTATTGCAGATAGATGTCAAGAAGTTGTTGGGGGTCATGTAAGTGCTGAGATTTGAAGGCTTCACGAGGTCATAATAAATGTAAAGCAAGTGGATGCTTGACTTGTGTTTGGTGTCTGGTTCTGTGCCGTTGAGATGCATGAAAGTTGTAATGGATAATATTATACTTAAAAATCTAATTGCAGTTCCTGAAAATGCAGTTCCAAATTCAAGTTTTTGTTGTTGTGTGTTTAATCATGACATTTTATTGATACCTCTAATGGTAGAGATTGATTTTCTCACTTCTGGTTCAAACTGAACCATACCTTGTCCATTTTTATATCACTGAATTGACCAACAGATCATGTAAATACTCGAGGTTCTAGTATTTTCTCTGAGGCCTGTCTGAAATTGAGTACATTTAGTTGCTTTTTTCACCTTTTAGCAAAATTTTCATCTCTTGAGGTTATTTTTTTACATATGGTTCCTTTTGTGATCGTGCTCAATGCCTTAACAGCTATTTATTGCAGAAAGCATAAGCAATTGAGCAGTTGAAGGGATCAGGCTACTTTCAAGTCTTGTTTGATTTTAACTTTTTTGTTTTTTATAATTAAAAATTGTATAAAAAGCCCTCAAAAGGGGAGTGAATCCCAAGAGAAATACACAAAGCCAAAGAGAGCTCTTCAAAAAGGCCAAAAAATCAACAATCTCGTCTAAAGGAGATTTTAGAGGAGATTTTAACTTCTTTTTAAACATTGATTATTGGCCGGCTATACTATAATGCTTACATAAATAGGAGGTTGTAACACACAAACAAGACTTATTGCAGCAACCATGCAACATCACACAAAAGTAAATATTTTTTAAGTGGTAATTAAAAATAAATAATATTTTTGATAACTTTTTGAATTTTCAGCATGTTCTTCTTTCAAATTGTATTTAATTTTTAATTAAATAAGTTCTTCATCCTATCAAAACAAAGTGCAGTACCTTAGTCCAAAATCTCAAAAAAATTATTTTTAGAAAAATATCATTATTTAAACTATTGCATGAAACAACCCTAAAAATTTGTCACAAATTAGTTATGGACTTCTCGGATGGCACTAGAAAAATGTGTCATTTTTCTTGTACCAAAAATCACTAGGTGAAATAATTTTAATCTTATAAAATTGATATAGATGTGGTGCCGACTCACACCACTACCATGGCCTCCTAATCTTATTGTCCTTAGTTTTATTTTATTTCATTAACAGGGTCACTTAACATTTTGCAATATCATTGTTAGTGGAATGAATAAACACGTGGAAGTAGATTACAGGTTCAAATAAACTCAAAACCATATTCATACCCTCTCTCTGTCTCTCTTTCCCAGTGTCTGTGTCACTCGAAATCCCTTTTATTGTCTGCGTATTACCTACTCTTCTTTAGCAGATCAGCCTGTATAATGGCAAGCCAATCCAAGAAGGATCAAGAAACAATCTACGACTTCACTGTTAAGGTTAGTTTCGTCAAATATACTAATATTATATATGTATTTGTGTATGTATATGTGTGTGTGAATTTGTTTGTGTGTGTATATATATGTGTGTGATAGGTCCTGTTTTCCTGGTCTGTGGACGAGGCCGACAAGTTTTCATAATCTGGGAATCTTTTATTTTCCTGTTCAATTTTTCTGACTGAAAACCCTCTGGTCATCAAATGAGAAACATCATCTATTGTAAAGGGGTGTCTATTTCTGACCCTTTGGCTTATCAGTGGTTTCTGAGATTATTTATTTATTTTTTTAGTAAAGTGCTTTACGCTTGTAAGTTAGCAACCCATATGAACAGCATAATATTGGTTGCTTTCTGTTTAGCTATGAGAAATATCATATACATGAATTTGTGTGTGTAGGTGCAAAATTTCGCTCAACCAATAATGACCGAGAAAAATAAAACAACTCACTCAAAAACAATAAAAATAAATAAGAACAATGTGTAGAGAAGTGTGGAATTACTTGATCCTTTATTGAAGGTCTTAGCCTCTATTTATATACAAAAGATTGCAGAATTATGGTAGGACTCGCGTTGCTTGCCCTCCAATTCTTTCTATATAACCATTCTTTTCTAATAGAGTTCTTTCCATTGTTGAATTTTCCATACATAGAACTTGCCTTGTACAGAACTTCCTATCCGAATTTTCCTTCTATGGTAAATTCTTCAAATGGTAGGATTTGTGCATTCTTGGGCTGAATATATTTTGATCCGGCTGGGCTTGGGTAACAGGCCGGATGTTAAATACTCATATCTGGGCTAACGACAAGCTGGGCTGATGGCTTCTTGATTCGGCCTTGATGGAATGGTCTTGGGCTGTAAATACCCTCAACTTGGGCTTGAGCATGATGGGCCTTATATGTCCTTGGCCTGTAGATATGGGTAGTGGTGACGTGTGTGTTTTTTATTGGAGGGAGTTTTTTTCCCTCCACACTTTGCCCCAAATTCCATTTTTAATTGAGTGACGGCTCCTATTAAAGAGGGAATTGAAACCGGTTTTCACTTTGCTTCAGAAACGGTTCGTGGCCTTTCGTTATTACTTCCTTCGCACAAGATTTTGCAAGAGTTACATTTGCCCTTGCTGCACTTCTGCGTCCTTCATTTCATCGCTTCCTTCGCTTTGTCAGGTTAGTCTCGCATCTTTCTCTTCAATCTTTCATTATGAGTACTTCATCTACTCCCGAACGTGTAGATATCGGGGATTCTGAATCCACACCTTCGTCTTCCCCCATTCGCATTAGGGCTCCCCCTCCTAGGGTTTCTACAGATCGCCCTTCGTTGAATTTGTCAGGTACTTCCCCTCTTCCAACCGAAACATCCACCTCAGGCTCTGATTACGTTCTTACCCATGAAGAGAAGAAAGCAATCATCTCTATTCGCCGCATCAAATTCTCTATTGCTTCGGTAATGGAAGAATTTGATGTTCCTGAAGGAGTAGACATTGCAGAATATCCCGAGGGTGCCGATTTCACCTCCGGCGAGGGAATTGAGGAGGATGAGTTGCTTCTTTCTGTAGGGCACCTTAACGCCCTCCGATTCCCTCTTCATCCCTTCTATCATTTAGTTTTCAATAAGCTAGGTCTTGCCCCTCTTCAAGTAAATCCCAATTTCTTTCGCATCCTTTCGGCGTTGTTGGTGCGCCGGAAATTAGAGGCTCTGGATTTGACCCTTGCCGACCTTCTGCTTACATACAATATATCTAAGCATGGGACCGAGCCTGGTCGCTTCTTTTTTACCTCTCCCCTTCATCAAAGGATATGCACGAACCTTCCTTCATCCGAAAAGAAATGGAAAGAAAGGATGGTTGTAGTTAAAGGGAAATGGTTCGTGTCCCAATCAATTGCGCTTCCCATTCCGCGCAAATTCGGGAAATTAGGTATAGAATATTTAACCTCCCTTCATACCAAGTGTTCTGGCTGTTTTCCTTGCCAAGTCTTAATATTTCGCCGTATTTATGAATTTCTTGGTGTTTTTTTAGCTACATTCCCGGCCTCCGCAGCAAGGAACAGACTTTCTTTTCTTGAGGAACGAGTCTGGAGTAACCCCTCGCCTATCGAGGACCTGGTAACTTCCTCCAACCTCAAGGACATTGCCTCCAGTGCCGTTGCTGCAGACCTCATGGACCTGGCTTTACTATCCTTTGACAGTTTCCCTATGACCGAGGAGGAGATACGGCGGGCTGAGGCTTTAAAAAAGAAAGCCGGAGATGCCCAACCCTTGGTCGTCATTGGATCAACTGAGGAAGAGGTGGAGGTTGAGGAACCACCATTGAAGAAATCTCGCCTCAACCCCTCTTCCTCTGGCAAGGGCAAAGTCCCCTCTAAAAGCAGAGGGAAAAAAGCTGGGGAGGCTGAACCTGAAGATGAAGTCAGGGCCTTTGTTCTTGCTGAGACTGGAGCTCCTTGGACTCCTTCCTTCACCAGGGCTGACAGGTCAGTCCTACACTCAGGGGATTCTGTGGTTACAGACCCTTCAGCTGCACTGGCGGTGGCTCGAGGAATGTGGCTCCCAAAGGACGAGGAAGCCATCAGCCAAATGGGGTTGGAGCAACTTCTCCCCTCTGCCCCAGTCCGGGCCATAGAGGTTTGCATTGCACCTTCAGAATTATGCTACTCTTGCCTGCTTGTGTTTCTATTTATGCTTATATTCGTTTCCCTGTTAAACAGAGTCTATACCACACCATGGCCCTCTGCGCCACTGCTGAAGCTCAATCCCTCTCCATTAAGAAGTTGGAAAAGGATCTTGACAGCGCAGAGAAGAGAGCCACTACTGCCTCTACCAATCTGAAAATAGCGTCTGAAGCCAAGGATGCGTATAAGAGGCAGTTGTCAACCTCTGAGGTTAAGGTGGATTCTCTTCAGGCCGAGGTTCAACGCCTGACCGAGGCTCTTACTACTTGCTTCAAGGCGGGGAAGCAAATGCAGGGGCGTTACTCCTGTCTGGCACACCTGGCTAGTGCGAAGGCGTTCCGGTCTGGCTATAATCAGGGCTCAGGCCCTAAGACGATGGATCCGGACGCCTTTGACAAGCAGGTAGGGGTGCACTTCCCATATGATGAAGGGCCAGAGGCTTTGGAAGCTGAAATTCGCTTTGCCGAGATGGTGAAGGCACACCTGAAGGGTACTCCTAGCCCCCCTGCTCCTGCGGCTACCTCAAGTCCTAATGTAGTGGATGCTTTTGAATCTACTCCCTTCGATCCGAAGAGGAAGTAGAACTATGTATTTTTTTTTTTTTGTTTTTATGAACAGCCTATTTTGGGATAATGAATATAACTTTTCGTTTTAGGTTTACCTGACCTGTTTTTGCTGTATGCTCTTGATATATTTCTCTGACTGGTAATGTGTTTAAATACTAAACATTGTCTTTATACTTCGGATTTATGTTATCCGTAAAAATGCAAGGATTGTGGGAAGAAGGAGATCCTTTTAACAGTTTAGTTGATATCGCAGGATGAGTCGTATGGACAATGATTTAACTGTTAAATGAACCTTCCTCGCCTTCTACTTGCCTTCAGTATACATACTCTTTCCTTCTCATGTGTTCCTGATGTGGGGTGGAATATGATGAACTTATGACATATCCGTATACACAAGGTATTAAACACTTGGAGTCCGGAGGAAAGAGTTCTGATCTGAATAGGACACTTAGGGTCCGAAGCCGCCTCGGATATTCAGGATCCGAGGCGAATTATACATTCCCTGGCGTGGAGCCGGAGGGGGGTTTTGCCGAACCGAACGCGTAGGGTCCGAGGCGAGATTTTCGCCGGGCCGAACACTTAGGGTCCGAGGCGAATGACCTATTCTCCGGCGCTGAGCCCGAGGGGAGGTTTAAATGAATCACTCCCCGGCGCTGAGCCAAAGGGGAGGTTTTGCCGAGCCGGACACTTAGGGTCCGAGGCGAGAGAACTACTCCCCGGCCCTGAGCCTGAGGGGAGGTTGTGCCGTACCGAACACTTGAGGTCCGAGGCGAATGAACTACTCCCCGGCGCTGAGCCCGAGGGGAGGTTTAAATGAATCACTCCCCGCGGCGCTGAGCCTGAGGAGAGGTTGTGCCGAACCGAACACTTGAGGTCCGAGGCGAATGAATTACTCCCCGGCGCTGAGCTCGAGGGGAGGCTTAAATGAATCCCTCCCCGGCGCTGAGCCAGAGGGGAGGTTTTGCCAAGCCGGACACTTAGAGTCCGAGGCGAATGAACTACTCCCCGGCCCTGAGCCTGAGGGGAGGTTGTGCCGTACCGAACACTTGAGGTCCGAGACGAATGAACTACTCCCCGGCGCTGAGCCCGAGGGGAGGTTTAAATGAATCACTCCCCGCAGCGCTGAGCCTGAGGGGAGGTTGTGCCGAACCGAACACTTGAGGTCCGAGGCGAATGAATTACTCCCCGGCGCTGAGCTCGAGGGGAGGCTTAAATGAATCCCTCCCCGGCGCTGAGCCAGAGGGGAGGTTTTGCCAAGCCGGACACTTAGGGTCCGAGGCGAATGAATTACTCCCCAGCGCTGAGCCTGAGGGGAGGTTTATTTCATATTTTTCCTCAAATCAGTTATTATGAGGCTGAAGACTCAAAAATGATAGGAAGCCAAGAAAGCGAGTAACAGTGGCTGTGAAGTTCTCCATTTGTCGACTTTAGAGACCTGCGTCCACTGATACTCCCTTCTTGGCAGCCAAATGTTGTGGACCGCGCACATTTATTCTCTATCTCTATCCGATGTGGGACATAGACTAAATTTTGTCAAAAAAGTCGGTGTAAGGAATGCCTCTGGTATTGAGCTTGACAGCTTTAAATACCAGTGGGCCCTCCTTACACCGTAATTAACTATTTGAATATTCCCATATATAACAGAATGTAGCACATACTGTTTTATCGATGTGGGATAGAAAGTTTTAAGCACAGGCCATAATTCATGTGTTTTGTGTTTGTGTGCTTGTTGGGTTTTGTGTTTGTGTTTTGTTCGTTTTTGTTTTTGTT